TTCTTGAGGGAAAGAGCCTTATTTAACTCCTCCTCAGAGAAGGGTTGATTGATTGGTTTAGCCCCTTCATTAGGTTCAATTTCTAATGAAGGGTGCTGTGAGTAAAAGATTTCCTTTCTCTTCAGGAACTCTGGTGATTGGTTTTCGTCCCTGCTTGCGTCAGTGAAAGCTTTTGCAAGTAGATCTGTCTTTTCATTGCCGTTGGTAACGTACTCATCTCCATTCTTTAGGTTTGGTATGTTGAATGATCTGCGCTTCCCGTTCATGGCGTTCAGCTTCTTCCAGACGGCACCTGTTTGCGTGTTTTGATTCAACGCATTACAGAATGTCATCCAGTGTTCGCTTTGTGCCTTCCGGATGGTGTCTCTTGCGGCGTATTTCAACTTCAGGTAGTTTTGGTGATTGACTTCATTGTAGTGGCGTTTCCGTAGGCGTAGTGCCTTCTTTCTTTCGTTAACCGCCTTCTGACATTCTGGTGACCACCAAGGTTTTCTAATCCTTGATTGCCCTCCAGAAGTCTTGGGAATGGAGTCGTCTGCGGCTCCTATAATAGCACTCGTGATGTTGGCGGCGTACACGTCGATGTTGGCATCGATGATGTCTTCTTCTTTCCACCCAAGGCAGCCTACACGGAAGTTAGCCCAATCAGCCTCTTTTATTTTCCAATTGGGTTTCCCGTTATAGACTTCCCTGGTTGTTTCACATTGGATGCAGAGTTCTATCAGTAGATGGTCGCTGTCAAGTGTTTCATCTTCGTGTACTTGCCAGTCGCAGCGGTTTGCCATACCAAGCGTACAGAGCGTGAGATCAAGGTGTGAAGGTGGGGCATTTCCTCCAACAAAAGTAGGGCTCTCGTCGTTCAGTACGCATAGGTCGTTCTCTTCTATTATTGAGCATAGGCTAATCCCCCGACAGCCATTCCTCGGTGACCCCCACAGGACGTGTTTTGCGTTGAAATCCCCGCAAAACACAAATTCGCCCTGAGGAAGCTGGTCGAGAAGTGACTGGAAGTCAACTGGTTTTCTCGTGACATCTGGGGGTACATAGACATTCACTATTGTCAATCTTGTATTATTGCTCAATGTGATGGCTATGCCCATTGCTTCTAGAGGGTCCTCTACGTCAAGCGAAACAGAAATATAATTTAAGTTATCACTGACGTAGATGGCAAGACCGCCGCCACGTGTCGTGCTGCCCGGTCTGTCCCTTCTCTGACAAGTGTATCCGGGCAATTGGATGTCGTTCTTGGTTGTTAGTAGCTTGGTTTCTTGGAGGCATATTACATCTTTCGGGTTACGGGTGATGTATTTTCTCAGCTCAGCACATCTGGGAGCCAGTCCATTAACGTTTAGTTGTAGAACTTTTACCTGGCCCGCCATGATGACTGTCCGGATGGATGCCTCTCTGTCTTGTCTATTTATTGGTCAATTGGTGTTTCACATTCCATAGGAGGTACCTCATTAGTGTTCGTCTTTGGTATTAAAACCGGCAAACAACTGGGCATATCGCCAGTGCTGTAGTGACGAACATGAGATATCCTTCTACGGAGTGCGAGGTTTGCCGTTTGATCGCCTTTTGTGGTTTCTTCGTCTTCTTCTCTTGATCTTTTTTTTTACCGTGTTGATTGAATTAATCATGACACACAGGACATCGGCGTTGACCATGTGTGTCTTTATTTTGCCCAGTAGGCTTGCCATCTTGGTAGTTTGGTCCTCATTGGACACGACCACCCTGAGGAACTCGATCATGAAGTTCATGAAGCCACTTTCCGTTTTAAATTTAGGAATGAAGTGTTCTTCATGAATCTTCGTTTTCGGTTCCTCTTCTTTCTTCTTGGATGGATTTGTCTTCTGTTTGACCTCTACAGGTTTGGTAGATGTTTTCTTCTCTTTCTTCTTCTTGTCTTTACCTTTAGGGGTGGGGGTTGCATCGGACGTCGAGAGAGTCGGTGCTGGAGCTTGTTTTGGTTCCACCACCGGTTCTCTGACTACTTTTGCTTCTCTCTCCTTGTTCTTTACTTGCTGGGTTGCCTCCCTAAAGGTAAGTTTATCTTTGCTTTGCAGACGTAGCGCTGCTTTGGTCGCTTGTATTCTTGGGCATTGCGGGGAGTTGGCTGCGTGGCTGCCCTTGCAGTTTGAGCAGTTAATTTTGCTGCCCACCCTACACTCAGCCACCACATGTTCTCCTCCGCATTGGGCGCATACGGTTTTTCCCTTACAGTACTTTACCGTATGTCCTAGTTTCTGGCAGTTGGTGCACTGCCTCACCCTCTGAACATAGGGGTGGGTACGGCGGTTGAGGTATACGATTTTAAGGGCCTCAGGTGCGGTACCTTTCTTGAAGGATAGGGCGACGCTTCCCTGATCCTTCCCCTGGGCCACATTAAACCGATATACCTCGGTAGCATGGTACCCCCTCTCTGTAAGATCTTCCAGAATTTCCTCCCCGGTATATTCGGCCGGTATCCCATGAACAACCACCTTATCAATAGACAAGGTGATCGGTTCGGACACCGTCACGGTCATACCGAGAAGTAGGTTCTGGGCCAGCGCTAGGTCCATGTCAGACCTACTTTTTAGGGCAAGTCTAACATGTCCCGGCACTGTGATCTTTATGTCGGGTATGTTGATAATACACCACTTACTCTTCAATTCCTTCCCCACGGCCGTAAGTTTGGCTCCTTGGAAGGACTTACCTTCCAGTGACGTCACAAGTACGACGTGGGTCTGTTCTGCTCTCCTTTTTTGTCGCAGGAAAGAACTTTGGTGCAGGGCTGCTTTTAAAAACGTCAGCCATTGACATGGGTGAGCTAGCCTCTGTCGCCATCGTTCTTATGCTGCCGAAAAGTAAAATCAAAAACAAAAGGAGTGACTGAACAGTGTTGGTTAAGGATGTATTCTGTCGTTAATTAATGACGTAAGCTGATATAACTGTTGTTACCCCTTTCCACAAAGAAGCGCTAGTCAATCAGTGCAATTAATACTAATTAACTATGGGTTCCTATTGCTTGTATGGGTGTACTTAACAGTTATCAGGCTTATTAGCTATAGAAATAAATTAGCTTGTTATTGTTTTAAGAAGCTTGTGACGAGTTCAATCAGTGGATTGGCTTGTACACTGAGCAAACGACATATCTCATGACAGCTCAGATAATGAGGCGTCTGATGACATAGCAGACAATGTTCCCGGACCGATGCAAGTTGATCAGCCCACCTGTGATTTCCCGTCACCCCAAGATGAAGATCCGTGGCTTGATGTTAGTTTTGGCGATGACCCAAAATATCCTATAATATCGGAACTTACTGGTAATATGGGCACTAAGGTAATTATTTAGAATGGTCATGAGACAAGTTTGGTTGATATTGATTGAGTAATAGAGTTGAACACAATTATTGAACATCAATTATGAGGTGTAGTTTTTCGTGATATATATAACCCATAATTTTGTTCAAGCCAAAAATACTTCAAAATAGAAATGAAATGGGGTTTAACGTCCTACTGTTCTGCTCCTAACCTGGGCTAATGAAGACGGGCATACGCCATACGGTGTGCTATGAGCGAAATTTTGCACGGGCAGCGGCGCTACGGCCTACTCTTATATCGAATTCCAACTGCCAAGGGGTCTTTTACGTGCACGCCAATGTTTTGGAATCTTCATGTGGCAGATTATCTTGCTCCTGGAATTGATTTACCATTAAAGGGCTATAAAATCCAACGGTTGTTGGATCATTTCAACCAGCGATTTCATGATCTATATGAACTTGGTGGGAAGATAAGTGTTGATGAATCAATGGTTCTATTCAAAGGTCGCATAGGCTTTCGTCAATACAATCCAATGAAGTCTACAAAGTGGGGTATGAAACTGTGTGTAATGTCTGATAGTGAAACCAGTTACAAATACCAGGGGTCATACGAGCGGCTTTTGACCTATGACGTCAGACATTTGATTAACCATTAAAATACAGATATATATTTCATTTCGTTTTTTTTTTAAATACTTTCGATGGCCTCTACTGCATGAAGATCTGATCATTGTAGTGGGAGGTCGGTTCAGGGGTCATACGAGCGGCTTTTGACCTATGACGTCAGACATATGATTAACCAATCAGCGTTGATGTTTCTAGTGGAATACCTACAGAAATCGGTGCAACAGACCGTTTCATTGGCTAATCCCTCACTTCAACCAGAACACAGATTATACAGTAAACGTCGCATAAGTCGAATTCATATAAGTCGGGTCTTCGCTCAACTCAGATAAAATCGTTTGGACCCTTTAATCCTGCACGTTTTACTTATTAAATTTCTGGGTGCAAGTCGGATTTCCTAAGACGGATCTTTGTTCAACTCGGATAAAAATGTTTGGTCCATTTGATCTAATTCCGGCTTTTTTCCTTCACCTAAGTCGGATCGGCAGTATGTTCAGAATTTGACTAAGTCAGTTTCGTCTCGATGGTCTAAAACACGGTTAGCTATTTCATGCACAGAGCCCTAAAATACTTTTCCCTATCATTTTGACTCAAATCAGCCTATTTGACGCGACGCAATAATAGAAATTTCCTGGAATATTCGAAACCCGCTGTCTGCTGTACGAGACACTTTCTGGGAAAATTTAGAACATTTTTCAAAGATGGCGACAAAACGAAAGTTATCTACTCGCACCAAAACGGAAGTTATCTACTCGCACATAAGAACAAAAGCTTGAAATGTGCGTTTGAATCAATTATTATCCGGCTGTTACAGTTTATTTCTAATCGAGCTAAGATTGAATTTGGGTCTTCGGCTAACTCGGATCTTCGCTTAACTCGGATAAAATTGGTCAGTCCACTTAGATCAGACTCTTATGCAAAGTTTACTGTATAACATCTCTTCCAGATCCTAGTGTAATAAAGACAAGTAAAACAAAATTTTGAACTATAAAAAACGAAAGGAAATAGGATCTGCGTTTTAATCAGATTGTATAAAACATGGTCGAATAAAAATAAACTGTATAATTAACTAACCTGGTAAAATACCATTTAGCTACAGCTCCTGATACAGCTAATTGTTGACAAGCTATTATAAACTCACTTGACCATATTAGACCTATCAAATGATACCACCAAAAATATGACACAGTTTCATATTCTTCAAATACTACAAAACCATTTTCATTCGCCTTCACTTTTTCTTTAATAAGACATAAAAAGAATAGAATTAAAAACATTATCTTGATACAGGAAGCAACTTGGATGTTGATCAAAATGATCAAAAGGATCTAGGAAATCTAATCTCTATCATGTTCACATAATTAGAAACTATAATACTATGGTCCTATTTGGTTCACAATGGAGTTAAATCACACTTACTTAATGAATTTGAGTGATATATTTATATATACGCTTCAAAAAAAAGTAGGGGAAATTTTTATTCCTGTTTGTCATATGTGCTGGCGAGTTAAAGGAGGCACAACAAACGGTCGTCGCGCATGCAAATGAGCTGCATGTAGCCGATTTCTAATCGTTTGGGGTGTAACTCGAATTCCTGAAAGTTGGTACAAGTTTACAGAAAGTTGATTGGTCGTTTGTCCTCGAATTCGCAGGGCCTGTCAAAATTGTGTGTTTGTTGGTACCGGTTCCACAGTCTGCTGATCACAGACTGTGACACATTAAGCATGTTGGCTACTGCTCGCTGTGTAGAACTCATTTGAAGCATGCCAATAGCACGTAGACGTTCATCATGTTGCAGACGTCTCATTGCAAATTAAACGTAACACACTAAAGCAAATAAGATATGCTAAACAGTATTGCACCCGAAACGTCGACCCATTAAACGATCTTCTACTTCTACAAGTCTGTTGTGTATTCTGATGAGCGGGGATTCTTTAATTTTATTTTACTACTCCGCCCCGCCCTTATCATCTTTTGATCCAGTCTTCACGCAGATGTATCAGCTTGTCCAGCTTTAATTACTCTCTAAGGGAGTGTTGCCGTACCCTTTTTCTGTTTCCATATATAAATAAATTAAATTCTGATCAAAAAATACTTGTAGAACCATATCCTAGTCATACATCTTTTAAATTTTGTGATGGTGACCAAGTAATTTCCACGTATATGGTTAAAATACAGTACGGAGATTGTGAAAGTTTGACCGAACACGATTATCATGTCGTTTTTTGTTGAAAATTGCCAAAACAAGGCCACGATAAATAACTTGGTGTAGCAGTTGCTATCCTGTGCCACGATAGTCACGTGACACGATAGGCCTCGGTGTAATTTGATATGTAAAATCAACGATATTTATCAGTCATAAACAATTGATGTCAAAAAGATATACTGCCACGATGTTAACAAACTGCCACGATATTTAAAATGTTGAATAGTTTCGTCAATAATCCTGACGCGAAAAGTTATGCTGTATAGAAAGAATGTATATATGCGGTTATAAGGTCGTACTTACCGCAAAATGAAATGATTCTGGGAACTCGTTTTATTTTAGAAGAAAAATGTATTTCGATTGAAGGACCTATTCGTCATGAACTTTTTGTTTAAAAATTGTACATTGAATACATTCGTGCATGTTGGTCTTTTCTGCGCTTTGATACAATTTGCATGGGATACATTTGCATGAAACCTTTTTACTGTTTATGCGATTCACCAAATGAAGGCAGTATTGGTACATTGTTTATCCAGATCAAAGAACATGTCGTTACAACTCGTGTTACTACAAAGGAAAGGAAATCAATTTGATTGAATATCTCAGAATCACAATACTCATGAATATACTTTTCAGGTGTGATTGACCCTTTTGTGGCGTTTGCCGCATGCGCTTGTGTACATACGCAATTGTACTCAATCAGTGAAATTACTTTTTAACCTTTGTTGATCACCTTGTCTTGTATCTACTGTTCAACTTACTTAATCTGTTAAAATCACACCAGTATTCGGTTCATTCTTTGATGTTTTATCGTTTTTATTATTTATATTTTCTAATAATGGCTTGTATTGGAAGCCAAACTAACCCGAAACGAATATATAACAAATGTCATTGCATCAGGGATCCGCCTATTATGCTAATCAAAATATAAATTGCTTAATGACACGTATTTGTTTTTTTAACTTTATAAACAACAACTTCAACATATTCGCAGGTAGACGTCTGCAATAAGTAATAATACAGCAGACATTAATACATGATCAAATCCACTGTGTGGTTTATAATAGCGTTGGTTAAACAAGGCGCCATCGTGGCTGGTTGGGCGACGACATGTCTACGCATCAAAGAACATTGTCTCGAAAGAATCGTGCAGCCAGGCTTGTTGGCTATTTTTACATTTGTAATACCGAGAGTTCAAAGAATGATTGGCAACTTACGTTATTTTGAACTTATCTCGGTCATGACCAGTTTGCCAAGATAATTGATTATTGGGTAAATAAAACAATATAAACAACTGATTTACTTCATACAATTAAATTATTAAATATTAGATGTGGACGACATAACCAATACCCCCCCCCCCCCTGTGGACGACTTATCTGCGTACGTGTTTGCTTGTGGACGAGTTTACTGACACCCGTTCAATATATGAATGCAACATACAAACAGCTGACCGTATTCATGCAATAGACCATTACTATCGATTTTTACAGTAAAACAGTAATCACAATTTCATTTCAGGGATGGGGCGGGGGTGTCCAGCCAAATACAAACAACCCCGTGAAACGTCGACGAATAACTTTGTAGTTAGTCATATTGTAAGTGTTACGTTGTTTTCTTTATATTGACATTCTGCTAATTGAGAAAATATTTGAATAATAATTACGGGTTATTTTACAAGACATCTCTTTTGAAAATTTCCCTTACGTTTAATTTTGACCGAAACGCCCAAATTGATTGACATGCAAAGAACAAACCATTGTGACCCTTCTTGAATGCCAACCTTTTTCATATCTGTCGGCATCTGAAGTGACATAATTTTAACAAACTATAATTTTGACAGTTCGGTACCACTTTTTGAAACCAAATATTATTTTTTCAAAATTTGATATTACCAAAAGGATGTGCCATGTAAATGTGCACAAAACATCGGAAACAGTTTTCTTAATTTCGATCTTGTTTTCGGGCTATTTTGATTAAAAGGTGAAAAGTGAAGTAAAATAAGCTATTTACAACCCATTCAGCGTCTTCATATTTTAAAATATTTCTTCGTAACTTTCAAAAATTCGTAGCAATAATCCATACGAAGAGAATGTATGTGAAAATGGGTTTGTAATATGAGCGGTTGTCGCGAAATAGGCAATTTTTGCATGCGTCACTTTTCACGTTATTTTGCCTGTAAAGGAATCAATTATTATTTTTCGATTTTCATTTTTTTTTACCATCTGATGCCTTATGCTAATTGTGACTAGGTCAAACCAATTTAACATTTTCACTGTCAGTGGAAATGACAACATTTGGGCAAAAGATAGGTTGCCAGGCAACGAAACATACGCCCACAACAGCGAATCGTCCGAGCGGTCCACAAGGGTTGTCGCATATTTATTCCTTTGTAGGTAATTATAGATTATAATTTTTGCCGTTTGAGGGTTCACAAGGTTTTACAAATTGAAGCAAGGGTCTCAACTCTGGAAGTAATCTACAGAAATTGTTGAGAATTGACAGGCTTTTTCGTTTCACAAATTTAAATGATGCATATAAATTTCATACATATCGGATAATGACTTTCATCAATCGAGCATTAACAAGTTGAACAAAGTTAAACAAGGGCAATAACTCTAGAAGTAATAAACGGAAATTGCTGAAATTCAATAGGATTCTTCTCTTTACTAATTTAAATGGCGCATGTAAATTTCATACAGATCGGCAGATAACTTTTAATGTTAGAGCCTTCACAAAGTTCAATAAAGTGAAACAAGGGCCATAACAATAGACATAATAAACAGAAATTGCTCAAATTCAATAAGCTTCGACGTTCCACTTATTTAAATAATGCATATAAATTTCAGAAAGATCGGATGATAACTTTTGGTGTTAAAGCGTTCACAAGGTTCAATAAAGTGAAACAAGGGCTATAACTCTAAAAGTAATTCACAGAAATTGCTGAAATTCAATAGGCTTCTTCGTTTCACTAATTTAAATAATGCATATAAATTTCAGAAAGATAGGAATGTTAATTTTTGGGGTTAGAGCGTTCACAAGGCTAAACAAAGTGAAACAAGGGCCATAGCTCTAAAATGAATAAACGGAAATTGCTGAAATTCAATAGGTTTCTTCGTTTCCCCAATTTAAATATTGCATATGAATTTCACAAAGATCGGATGTTAACATTTGGCATTAGAGCCTTCACAAGGTTCAACAAAGTGAAACAAGGGCCATAACTCTAGACGTTATAAACGGAAATTATTGAAATTAAATAGTTAAAAAGGCTTCTTCGTTTCACTAATTTAAATAATGCATATAAATTTCAGAAAGATAGGATGATAACTTTTGGGGTTAGAGCGTTCACATGGTTAAACAAAGTGAAACAAGGGCCATAACTCTAGAAGTAATAAACGGAAATTGCTGAAATTCAATTGGGTTCTTCGTTTCCCTAATTTAAATATTGCATATAAATTTCACAAAGATCGGATGTTAACTTTTGGCATTAGAGCGTTCACAAGGTTCAACAAAGTGAAACAAGGGCCATAACTCTAGACGTATTAAACGGAAATTATTGAAATTAAATAGGCTTCTTCATCTCACTAATGTAAACAACATATATCAATTTTATAACAATTGCATGATTACTGTGGACGACGTACGGACGGACGGGTGCGACGGCAATAACGTCCACATTTCTATGTGGGCGTATAAAAATGTATTATTAGACTTTAAAAGAGATATTTTTTTCAAATGAGTCGTATTTGTTATTTTTTTCAAATTTAGATATTTGATTCCAATCAACTAATAGAATGAACCCATACGATCATATAGATATCACAAAATGGTTTCTAACTTGTTCAGTTGCGGAGAAATAGACGATTTTCAACAGGTAACTTTTCAAGGTTTTTGGTCCGTAAAAGTGTCAATTATTATTCGATTTTCATAAAATTTTTAGTGTGCGATACCTAATGCCATTTACGATTTCATACAAGTAATTTAAGATTTTCATTATCACCGAAAGTAACGTCATTTTGGCAAAAACTGTATTT